TTGTGACCCTGTGCCCAAACACGTACATGTATATGCCATACACAAGTATATGTACACATTTTGTTTTTGTTTTATTTTGTATTACATGCAAATGGGAACTGTACATATTACTCAGATTTTTCCCCATGATACATAATAAATACATACATTTAATTCTCTTGCCAACTGCTAATTATGATTTATAGTTTGGCTACATTCATCTTTTTTTTTCCCCCAAATGTTCTTGAAATCATACTCTATATTATGCTCCTCTTTTTTCACTTAATTTTAAATCAATTCCCATGTCATTAAAGGCTCTTTGTAAACATAATTTCAATGACTGCATCGTATTCCAGAATATGTCATAATTTACCAATGTACTTTCTGCCAATTTGGAGCTATTAAAAATGAAAGCACAATGAACATTATAAAGCATTAAACTATCTCCACATTTCTGGTTATTTTCTTTAGGGCATGGACACTTTTAGTCTTTGTCCATGCAACCAAATAGATTTTTCCAAAAAAAACATAATGAACTGTGCTCCTGCCAGCAATTCCTGAGAGGCTTTCCACGTCTGTTCTTAAAGCCTTACTGGGACCAGCAGTTAATGTAATGGCTATGTCGCTGGACTCCCATGTAGTCGACCACAGTTTGAGTCCTGGACCCAGTGGCTTGAACTCACACCGGACATGTGTGCATGCGTGCCCAGGATCCTGAGAGGAGAATGGAGAAGGGATTGCGGTGTGATTTCTGGGGGTGATTTCTCACTTTCTGTCTCTCTATTTATCTCTTTCTGGCGAGCGCACGCGCCCTATAGCAAAAACCTCTTTAAAAAAAAAAAAAAAAGCCTTACTAATATACTAGACAAAATTTGCATATTACTTTATGAGTGAGGTTAGTTTTGTCCGATCAATTATCCATGTGCAGGTCCTCTTCCAAGACTGCCTGATCACTTGCTCACATTGTTTCAGTTCTCTGAGCCAGCCCTTCCTTCCTTACCACTGGCCTGATCCAGCCCTGAGCCGTCCTGCCTATATGTTTATTACCCACCCTAGGCTCAAAGTGGCCCTTTCCCTCCTGGTTCTGCATCCCTTGTCACCTGCCCACAAGCTTCTCTCACTCCCTCCGCAGTCCCGTGGCTGGTCTCTCACGTCTACCATGCCTGTTTGTGCCCCTCGCTCTGCATCTCCTTAAGCCTCCATACCAGAAAACAGAACAACCAAACCCAAGCCTAGAATGTTCCAGCAGGCTGCCAGGGTCTGTCATCAGTCTGGGAGTGGTGCTGACAGGCTGGCAGATATAGCCGGGGCCTTGCTGTTCTGACCTGGGCCCAGGGAGGGGCACCATGGGGGCCTAACCTGCTGGGACTCTGCACAACCCTCTCATCTTTTCTTTTCCCACTTTCCTCCTCTCCCCATGATTCTGACTCAAGCTTTAATTTTCACAAATGATATAATTTGGTGATTCGGGGTTTCTGCAGAATTTCTGAGATCCTCAGAGCACGGGGGCCTGTTTGCCCTTGTTAGAGAAGAGGGACCCTGGATGCTCTGCAGACCCCGTCAGGCTATGGTAATAAGCAGGGGCTGTTGGAGCTGCAAAGTGTAAACCTGGTCCTTCTTAGTGAGACTTCGCAGAAATCCCACTGGAGATTTTTCTGCCCCTGCCCTGTCTACTTTCCTTCATAATGATAAATGGCTGAAAAGAAAACTATCTAATCTCCAACCTGCTTGCTTTTTTTCTTCTCTTTCTTCAAGGAGAGAAGGAAGAACACAGTCACATAAAACAGAGTCCTTCATCGCCTGCTTCTCAGGAGACAGTTCTTTCCCTTTTCATCCTGGGCCTGTTTCTGATCTGTGATGGGCTCGCATTGAAAGCTCCAGACTGGCCCTCTCTAATCAGCTGCGACAGACGCTGCAGTTGCTTGGATTGCCCATCGAAATTGAATTGATTACCGGCCCCTTTGCCATTTTGTTCTATGCACAATTGCTTAATAGCTGTCACCTTGGCTTTCAGTCCCCGCTGGCTTTGGGCTGACTGGTTCCCATTACTCGGGATAGCCAGTGCAAGTTCATCACCTTTACAGGATGCCCCTGATTGATTCCGTATGCCTTGGAGACCTGTAATGTCTTTGCGTGGGGGGAACAGGGGTGGTTGTGGGGACAGAATAGAAATCTCTTGGCCGCAGGAACCGCTGGGTTTCACTGCAGGGCTTGTCATATTTGAATCATTACCAGGATCTCTTGTCAGGAGTGCGGCCTTTGCTGACATAGCTACTAATGAATTTGTAAATTTAATTAAAAAAATTTTTTAAAAAACCCAGCCTATTCTAACCTTTGCTGTCGCCACCTGCCACTTGTGTGGGGTGGCAAGCAGAACTGGTGCTCTTCTGGCCAGAGCTGGTCTTCGAAATGACAGTCCCTCCTTCGCCAGCCACTTCCCTTGCCTGCCTAGCAGAACCCGGGCTTGGAGGGAAACATCTTTCAAGTGAAATCCTTTGCACTGGGAACTACTTCAATTAGACAGCAGGGGGAATGTTAACATGCCCTCCGGCCTTTTAAGTGGGTTTTAATTTTATGTTGTAAGATAAGACACTGCAGGGCTGGGCTGCTACTCCTCCAGCAGGCTCCATTAGTGGGGCCAGGAGAGGCCTCTTGACCCCCTGAGGCCCAGCCAAGGCTGCAAGTTGGTTTGGTTTTTTAACAATTTGTCAGCCTGACCTAGCTTCTCTTTTTCTTCCCCCTTTTGTTATTCCAGGCTCTGTTGCTGAGAGCTGTTGGGTGGCTGAGCTGTGAGTTGGAGGCTGGAGCCCTGGAGGCTGCCTGCCCCTGACCATGCAGCTGAATGTTAATCGGCTTTTCCCTCCTTCCCAGGCAGGGCACAGCAGAGGCAGACCCTTTTCATGTGGCAGGTTTCTGGCCTGATGATGTATGACCCGTTGGCGCTACTGAATGGTGCCCTTTGTTCCAGGATATCCCATGTGCCCCCTTTTTATTGAGTTGTTGATTCAGAGGGCCAGGAAAGTTCCACAAATCCCACTACAGGCCCAGCTCTGGCCATGCCCAGGTGGGGAAGCCCAGGAACCTCATGTTTCCCAGCAAGCCAGTAGGAAGCTGTGGGCTGCCTCGGGGAAAATGACCCCCTAAGAAAGTCCAAAGAGGCTTTCTTTACCTCCAACTCAGCCAACTATGTGCAGAGAGCCCTGGGAACATACAAGTCCCTAGCCCTCTGCCTGGGTCCTAGAAGGTGTGGAACATTCAGATGTGTATTCTTCACTCCTGAAAAGAAAGAGCAGAACAGGTGTGAATTAGAAAGGGCACCCCCCTCTCGTACCCTGGGCCAAACTCAAGTAAGTTTTCCTCTGTGACCAACAAGCCGAAGGTGGGAGCCAGCAGCTAAGGGAGTCTGCTGTTCTGCAGGAAGAAGTCCAGCTAGACAGCCACCTTAGAGCCATGAGGGAAGGCTCTGGGGAAAGAGGAGACAGACTGACTTTTGACCCAGCAGGCAAGCTCCTCTTAGTCCTGATGAGGACAAGGACTGAAGGGAGCCCACCCTTGCCTTCTCTTCTGGGTTCCCAGACCAGCCTGCAGTGCCCATGGTGAATGAGGGTGAGCAGCTTTGGAGGAGCCAGGAAGGGAAGGGGCAAGAGGCAAGGGCTTGAATGGGGGGAGCCCCAATAGCACCTCCCTACATCTGCTTCTCTCTCATCAGGATTTTATCTCCTTTTTTCTCTGTTTGTGGAGAAGCTTTAGGGATCTGGCAGAGGACTGAGCAAGTAGAGGGCTTTTCCAGGGCTTGACTTGTCCTCTCAGGGTGAAGGTAGCTCACGAGTTCACACATCTGGCTGTTCCAGGAGCCCTGGGCTCTGAGTCTAATCTGCTCCTCGGTTCCTTTTCTGAAATAGCTGTACAAATCTCACCAAGAACTTGAGACCACTTCTCCCAAATTGCCAGGTTCTGTGTTGGTCCTAAATTCCTGTACTGTGAGCTCAGAGGCTCCATGGACATGAGGCACTGAGTCTCACCTGGCATTTGAGAAAAAATACAAGCCAAAGAGGAGCCAGAAGCCACTGCTGAGCCAAGAAATGAGAAACCAGTAATAAAGAGCATCCACACACTTCACAGTTGTAAAATGGCTTTATGTTCCAATATGTAAAATAAAACGTCCATGCTATATAACAAAACACTTGAAGTTCCATATCATCTGTTAGCTAATGTGTTTTCTAATAAAGCTTTATCTGTATTCTGTGTGTGTTTATATATATATATATATATGTTTATCTAAACCATTCTTAGTTTTTATCATCAAACATGTAATAAAAATTTAAATAGATGTCTTTCCAAATATCTCCTCCAATGTTTATTTTTATTAAGTTTATTCATTTTTAAAAAGCAAAGCTGAATTTGAAATGTGGTAATAGCTATTCAGCATGCAAAGAGTTTAGTGATTTCCCAGATTTGACGTACAGTTCACACCAGGCACACTAATGGACTGGTTATGCTGAAGAGCAAGGCCGAGGACTATGAGATCTCTTCACTGGAGAAGAATTATCTTTGCTCCTCTGAGCTCACTGGCTAAATTCACTGGGGGGAAAAAAAGGTTTTTTTATATCAATTCTCTTTATTTCTGTTGGACTTTCTTGTTCCAGAGGTCTATATTTTCTGGGAGCAGATCAGGCCTTGAAGATGTCAGACCTCAGCTCCAATGTGGTCTCCTGGGATGTTGGCAGGTGAGGTGTGTTTCATAATCGCCAGTTGTGGGGTGCGTATGCCACACCCTGCACATTAAAAGAGATTGTATGTTGAGGAGCAAGGCAGGAGGGCTTTGTACTTTATGACAAAACCTGAATGATGACAGAGATGCAACTGGTTGCATTTTCCCACCTTCTGAGGGGGAAAAAAGCAATTTAAAAAATACCCATCAGGTGGCAGTTAGCATGTGACCCTTTCTGAGTATCATCCCTCAGGCCTTGAAGTTCCAGGAACTGATTTCCATGCCACTAACTGAGCAGCTAGCTCTCCTCTCAAACCACACCTCGTGACTTGGCCGAGCCACCTCCTGGTAGTCTCACAAAATCTCCAGAAGCCAAAGTGGGCCTCTTGCTCTGAAAACAAGATTCTCAGCTCCCCTTGAAAATAGAAGGCTGGGAACCCATAGCTGTGCACAGAGCCCTCCCACGCCAGCAGGGAGGCCTACCTGGTGGCAGAGCCCGCATCACTAGGTCCCTGAGTAAACCCAGGTTCTATTATTCAAAAACCTCTAACTCAGATGAACCTTCCATTCCCATCCTACCAATGAGCATGTCAAGTGGGGTCAAATAACACTTCTTAGATAATTGGTTGTTGGATTTTGTGTTTCTTTTTTGCTGTGACCTCCGTTGTATGTCAGAAGATAGAAGCTTTCCAAATACATCCATGCATGCGCACACGCACACCCCCACACACATCCTTTGAAGTACTTTCCTGTGTTTCTTGGTAGTGCAGGCTACCCACAAAGGTTAATGCCGGTTAACGTGGTCCTGGGACTGTCAAGGAGACCTGGGAGTCATCCGTCAGTCCAGTTCTCTACAGTCCCCATTCCTGAATGGTACTGCAAGGAGGATTCCCGGGACAAGGAGAAGCTCTGGGAGTAGAGAAACTCATTGGCAGCGTTCAGGTGTGGAGAGGGCGGCTTCCGCTCACACACTGGAGGGAGGCCGCGCTCTCTCGGGAATGAGGCAGCGGGCCCCCGCTCTCGGACCTGAGACTGTGAGAGCTGATTGTAGACACTGAAGTGGGTGTTTCCTGGTGGCTGAGAGCTCTGAGCAGAGATGGTGGGCAGCCGAGGCATCATAGTGGTGGTGGCGAAGTGCGTGGGGAAGGGCTGGTAGGGCACAGTCTCCACAGTCTGAACGCTGTAGCCAGTGTACGGGGACACCGAAGTCCACATGTTACAGCTCAGCGGGGGTGGGGGCAAGTCGTCCACCCCAGACACCCCAGCAATCTCAGGCCCAGAACCTGAGTACATACAGGCTTCTCTCGGGGTCACCTCATTGCAATAGGAGGGGCTCAGCATCTGTTGGTCATAGGGAGGAGGAGAACGGAAATAGTGATCCTCCCCCACCGAAGAGGGAGCTTCCAGATAGGATCTCTTGCAGGGTAAGTCCAGGTGGCGGGCACTGTCTGCTGGAAGACAAAGAAGTGTTCAGAAGAGCCATTTAGACTCGCCCAGGGCCCAGAGCACCCCTGTGAGATCCAGGACAGCCTACCCTTGTCGTTCAATGCCCTCCCTTGCCTGGGTCACCCTGGCTCCCCAGAACCATTGTAATCAGCTACAGTGTTTGTAAGGTGGTAGCAGCCAAGATGTGGTCAGATTATGGGCCCTGCTTAGAGGCCACAGGGGACACTACATCACTGGACGCTGAGTGACATGCTTAGCCAGGCAGCACACAGCTTTGATCCTTTTCCAGCCTGAGTCTGGAGATGGTATGAGGCCTTGATGTGCACTGGCATTCTCGGGCTAGACCCATCCCAGCCATGGGAAGTGGTGGCAATTGCCAGGCCAAACCAGACCCAGAGGCCACATCTGTCTGAACTAGCCAGAAAATGAGGCCATGATGTTTCTGCCTTAAGCCTCAGCTCCTAGGAAGGCCTCAGTAAGCCAAAGCTAATTGAAGGCCTATTTGCATTGCTTTTAGAAGAGGAAGTTAAGGGCATATACGTTCACAGATCCATCAGATTATTATCATGCAATCTCCAATCAACAGTGTCTACGAAAGTAAGAAATAGAGCTGACAGTATGTGAAAAGGGTAACAGACTTTTCAGGCTAAGGAGGAGAGGTGGCAAATCACGCACAATCCCTACCGTGAGGGCTTCACTCTCTGGAAGGCGCATCCTCCCCTGGAATCTAGGGATGACCTGAACCCGAGGACTTGGGCAGGAGCCCACTTAACAAATTTAAGAACACTTATCACAGCTTATCTTGGCCTCTCTCTTGTTTTCTCTAGGGCTTTATTCTTTTTTTTTTTTTTTTTTTGGAGAGTTTTTGTTTGTTTGTTTGTTTTTGTTTTTGTTTTGTTTTGTTTTGCTATAGGGCACATGTGCTCACCAGAAAGACAGAGAGAGACAGAGATAGAAAGCAAGAAATCACCCCCCACAGGGGATGGCCACACCACAATCCCTTCTCCTCCATTCTCCTCTCGGGATCTTGGGCACGCACGCACACATGCTCGGTGTGAGTTTAAGCCACTGGGTCCAGGACTTAAACTGCAGTTAGCTATATGGGAGTTCAGTGACATAGCCATTACTCTCTAGGTCTGCTGGTCTCTCTAGGGATTTATTCTGAGAGCTGTGTGTGGACATGGACCTGGGGGATACAGGGGCTGAGTTTGAAGCCTGCCTCACCTCTGCCCTGTGCCCCCTCTGGAGGCATCCATCCTGTACTCACCTCTGCCCTGTGCCCTCTCTGGAGGCATCCATCCTGTACTCACCCCTGCCCTGTGCCCTCTCTGGAGGCATCCATCTTGTACTCACCCCTGCCCTGTGCCCTCTCTGGAGGCATCCATCTTGTACTCACCCCTGCCCTGTGCCCTCTCTGGAGGCATCCTCCCTGCCGATGGGAGACTTGCTCCTCTCCCTTTCCAGCTCTCATTCTCCCTTCAGATATCCCGCCCTCATCTTTCCCCAAAACTCTTCCTTTCTCCACTCAGATTTGGCAGGTAGCCCTGTCACTCTAGGTCAGGAGTGAGCAAACTTGGTCTGTGAAGGACCAGATAGTAAATAGTTTAGGTTTTTTTGGTTTTTTTAGAGGTTTTCGCTATAGGGCGCGTGCGCTCATCAGACAGACAGAGAGAGACATAGAGACAGAAAGTGAGAAATCACCCCCCAGGGGGGATGGTCACACCGCAATCCCTTCTCCTCCATTCTCCTCTCGGGATCCTGGGCGCGCACGCACATGCGCCCGGCATGAGTTCCAAGCCACCGGGTCCGGGACGCGAACCGCGGTCCACTACATGGGAGTCCAGCGACATAGCCATTACGCTAACTGCTGGTTCCCAATAGTTTAGGTTTTGTGGGCCATGCAGTATCTGCCACAACCACTTGACTCTGCTGTTGTCCCACAAAGGCAGCCATAGACAGTACATACATAAACGAGTATGGCTGTGTTCTAATAAAACTTTGTGGATATGGGGCCAGTAGATGGCATGGTGGTTAAAGTGGCTGGACTCCCACAAGGCTGACTGTGGTTCGAGTCCCAGACCTGACAGCTTGCTTTCTCACTTTCCTCTCTTTTTCTCTGTCTCTCTCTGGTCAACTTTTAAAAAATAAAAATAAAATAATGACAATGAATAAAATTAAATAAAATTAAATTTTTAAAAACTTTATGGATACAAACATTTGAATTTCATATAATATACACATATCATGAAATTTCTCTTTTGATTTTTTCCAACTGTTTAAGAATGTGAAAGCCATTTTGTAGGGGCAGCAGGCTAGATTTGGTCCAAGGGCCACAGTTGCTGCCCTCTGCTCTAAGCCACTGAATTCTAACAGGACTTCTGCAGCGAACACTTGGAGCTCTGCCTGGCTAGTCTCAAGGAACAGGGCTGAGAGAACATTCTGGATTGCAAGCACAAGTCTCAAGACTCATTCCCAAAAGAATGTCAATGGCCCAGTGAAGTCTAGAGAAACTCAGACCTGGTATCAGAGCGTTTTCTCAGCTCAGAGCTCGTCTTCACCAGAAGGCCCAGAACAGACAGTGCCGTAGACCATGCTCTGCACCCACAGTAGTTCACACCAACTCTCAAGCAGCCTTTGCAGATCTTGGAATGGTGAAGTGGAGAGCCCTGGACACAGGACTCGGGTCCTCCCTGGTCTGAGGGTGCTTTGATAAATGACAGCCCTGGTCTGAAACCATCTGGGTATGAAGCTTCAGCTTCCTCCTGTACTTCTAGGTAGGCCTCAGCTAATTGTGTGTCCTTTGCCCACTTCACAGCGGCTCTCAAAGCAGTATCCACAAAGGTCATTTGGAACTGGACAGAGGTGCCTGTGCCTGGGAACACCAAGGCCACAGCTGGCTGTGAGGATTCTGAAGGTTGTGTTAAAGGTGGGAACAAGTAATCCTGCACTATAAGGATGACCCTGAGCCTGGGCGCGCCACACAAATAATTGCACATGTGTGTGTGTGTGTGTGTGTGTTGTGGGGAGAGCCTCACCCCTCACCCCTCTGACCCTCTAGGGTTTCTAGGCCAGGAGAGAGCTACCTCGTCTTTTCAGGCAGTGGTAGAAGAGGCTCGAGTCCCTCTGGGTAGGGAAGGTGTTGAGAGGAAGGTCCTGGGTCTCTGCTGCGGCGAACTGCATGTGAGCACCGTTCTCGTACTGGTAATGCTGGAGGGCCTGGTGGGCGCCGTGCAAGGGACTGACGTCTGGCTTGGATGAGAGCTGGGTGGAGACCACCCTCTGCCTCATGATGCTTTTAGAAATCACGGGATATTCTTTGCTGAAGGGGGGTGGGGGGAGGAAGATATCGGAGAGACAGGAAGAGAGTAAAGATGCTTTGAAGGTCACCCAGGTCACATGCCTGACCCCAGTCTTTCCGCCCCAGCCTCAGCTGGCCGGGGCAGTCTCACCTCTGGAGCCGGGCCACACGCAGGTCACTGTCGTCACTCCCCCGGAATCCCTTGGCAAAAGGGTTATTCTCAATTTTCAGCTGTGTGATCTGTCAGGAGAGGACACATGTAGAGTTGCTGAGAGGACAGAAGACTGGGCTGGTCTCTGGCACCCCCTCAACCACCATGATAGGATCTGTTATTTGCGCACCCCAGTCCTAAGCCCGCTGGGGGCCTACTGGCCCTCCGTGGCCTTGCCTTTCACTTCCAGCTTGTCCCTGGCTCTTACTCTTTCTATTAGCTCTCGATACTCTGCTCCTGCTCCTCTCCGCATCCCCCTCCCTCTGC